CATTGCCAGTGGAGTGGCTTTTCCTAAATCCTTTTAGCTGGCTTTGGGCCAACTTTATGATTGAGGCCTTAATATTTAATCTGTTGTTTCAATTTTGTTCCTCAGTTTGAGAGTTTTAAGCTGAGAAGTGAGTTGTAGGATTTTATTTTCAAAAAATAAAGCATGGCCCAGAAAATAAAGTATACAAAAGTTGATCATCCCTGGCTTGTGGTATGCAAGTGGCTCTTATAAACCGATGGATGTTATACTAATTAAAATCTGCAAAGATGTTAGCTATCAATAAGCATTTAGTCTATGGCTCTGATTCACACACTTGAGGGAAGCAATCAAGAATTTTGGCGTTCACGTCTGACTTTGGAGCAGCCTTTTACATCCATTACAAATTCTATTTTTCAAAATGCCATTTTCATTCAACAATTAAACTATTTCATTCTCCAAGCAATTATTATAGAAAGAGATTATCTGCTCTGTGGAAGCTGCAAAGGTTTTAAATGTCAATGCAATCTGGCAAATAAGTATCAAAACTACTATAGAAAAACATTCCAACCTCTAACTTTCAAAACAATAACATCTGGCCATATCTTAAAGCAAAAAAGAAATAGTAGTGATAAACATTTTCTAAAAATCCAAATATCTAAAATTATTCATGTCATTCTGCAGTATAAATTAACATTTTCCTAAAAATGGTCGCAATTTATGCAGAGCATTAGAAACCCTGCAGTAATTGCTTTGCAAAGAAAACATACAAATAGGATTTGATTACTAATTTAATGTTATCTTCATATAGTAACATTTCAACAAGACGTTTTAAAACATTGGTGCTAATGCCATGCCCAATGGATGCTTGCAAAGGATGCCTTTGAGAATCAACAGAAAAACATTTATGAATGCAATACAAAAACCACTGATTCTTTGCAACCTTCATTCATTTTGGTAAGTGGAACTTAGGGCTTGTTTATAACTTGCATTTCATGCTAATAAATGGAAACTCTTGCTTGCAGCCTCCCCCCCCCCAGCATCTCCACACTTAACAGCTATCTGTGTAGAGCCAATCACAAATCCATAAAGTTGTACTCAAAGCAATTGAGGATGAGTGCATGATGGATAGCATTATAACCTGTCAAATTAATATAAATGAAATGAGCTTTTGGGAGATATTCTGAGAAGTATAGTGAGGAAATATTATTGTCATAACAGAAAATGTGATGTGCTGCAAATACCTAGCACAGTGTTGCTGAGTTAGTCCCCTTCCCTAGATGCAAACTGGGGGCTCTTCCAATTGACCAGGTGATGTTCGTCCTGATTTGGTTTTGAAATTTTGCATGGAGGGTCTATGATATCTGCTGTTTACTGAACATTCATCCTGATTTTCCCCCACTGAGATTATGCAACATCATGCAGTCCCACACTTCCCAGTGCATTTTCCTATCACTATCCTTACCGCAAAAACATTAACTTCTTAAGAAGTTAGTTTGTTGCACAAGAAAGCCAAATCCACCTTAATTATGCAATCTCCATTTGCTGGTATATGACTGAATCCCATCTGCAAAATAGTGACAGCCTGGAAGCAGCCAGGTCTTTACTTCTATGGTCACCAAATTGCTTCAGATACATATTGCCCTTGGTAGTGGTAGGCAGCTACAAGCTGTCACTTAAAATTCCTCACGGAGCACAAGTACTCATCATGACATCACTCCAGGTCATTGTGGGAAAGTGACCTCAACTCTTTAAATCTCCTGCAATGCCTCAGAGTAATGCTGCATTAGGTGATCTGGATAATAGTGAAAAAATGGAAACAGTGTCATTTGACGCAAGGGGTCCAGGGCAGATATCGGTGCCAGAGGTATTGGATGCTGATGCTGAGGCTGCCATTCCACAAACTGGAATGAACACCTGAACACACTAGTCACATGCAATGATAGGGCTATTACTGAGGTTGTTGTTGTTGTTGTTGTTACTACTACTATTTCTGTTTCAGAAACCTTAAAGAAATGGAGGAAGGGGGAAGGGGGCAGAATTAGATCCCAAAGAAGTAGTGAATAACTTATTCTCATTACTAGTGCTGGATGAAGCCAGGCATCAGTGTTGTGATTGTGTTACAGTGGTGCCTTGTAAGACGAAATTAATTCGTTTTGCGAGTTTTGTCGTCTTGCGATTTTTTTCGTCTTGCGAAGCACAGTGTCGGGAAAGTTTTGGAAAAGCTTCAAAAATCACCAAAGTCTTTAAAAACCTCAAAAAAGGCTGCCACACCGCGTGCTATGAGTTGCTCCTTGAAGTCAAGTCGCAACTGTATTAACAGTGTTAAGAAAAAGGAGACAAACTTGCAAGACGTTTCCGTCTTGCGAAGCAAGCCCATAGGGAAAATCGTCTTGCGAAGCAGCTCAAAAAACAAAAAACCCTTTCGTCTAGCGAGTTTTTTGTCTTGCGAGGCATTCGTCTTGCGAGGTACCACTGTATTTCTTTCAGCTGATTGATGATTCATGACAAAAACAGTCCAAAGTAACTTGCCAGGGGCGGGGGGGGGGGGATCCAATGCTACTACTCATCACAACTACATATTTTAAAATCAATGGAACAAAAATATTCATCCACACTAATCTATTAAAGACTAGGGAGTGGAATTCAACGCAGTGCTAAGGCAGTCATTCCGTCAGTGCAAGCATTTCTGCTTGCTGGATGCAAAGAGCTCCCCTTTCCTGCTCACCACCCCCATGGAGTTTTGAAGTTTCTCCCAACTCTTCAGAGCAGACTGGGGGGGCACTGGGGAGTAGAGGGGGAAAGCTTCATTGCACTAGCAGGAGTCCTTGTGCTGGCTTCTGTACCAGGTCTGTTGAATCCTGCCTAAAAATATGAAAATACCCTTTCCCCACTCTACACTTGGATGAACACAGAAATAGCCAAAAGCCACCCAAAGGCACAACACTATTAGCACCCAAATGCCTGGGAGAATAAAAACGTTTTTGCCTGACACTGAAAAGGCGACAAAGTTGGTGCTTGGCAAACATCCCAGAGTTGAATTCTACAGACAAGGGACAGAAATATCATAGCAGCATTTATTTCATTTTATTGTTTAGTAGTGCATTTTATTTTTTCATTTTATTGTTGGGTAGTGCATTTTATTGATGAACTCATATGGGATGTGGAGAAATTCCCATGTGTAATGTTTCACAGGATTATACTTACACTTGTATTACCAAAAGTAATTCAATGTTTCAGGTAGTGGTTCAGGCACTCAACAGTGTATTCAAATAGATACATTCCTTTTCATTGATGTTTGAAAATGTAAATAGCTCCATTAAATCTTTTCCCTAGACCAGAGTACTAAGTTTTACAACATCCGAGGGTGGCATATAACAATTGTGTGAAGTTTATTCTAAATGCACTGTGAATGGAATCTGCCTGGCCTTCTTATCAAGTTAAAAAACAACCATATTAAGAGAGTTCCCCTTCAAATCACATGCATGGTGTTTTCCACAGCTGCAAAATAAATCTGCTAACACAAAAGCTGTTCCAATGTCACACAGCTTACATGTTCTATAGAATAAACATTTCAGCACTTAAGTAATCAAATTGGTAACAAAGATGAAGCTTCTGGCAGATTTATCATCCTGCCGTATTAGTTCTGTGGTAGTAAGAAATGTCCTTATACTTTTGATGCCAGATGCTCTCATTGGGAGAGCAGCGGTTCATGGAAACAATCCCATTGTATATAATGGGATTACTCATGTGAGAAATTGCTTATGTAGCTTTATACTTATGAATGTTTTTACACCTTCCAAAATCAGAGCACAGATGAAAGAAGCATATTTCAGTGTTTCATTACAATTGATGATCTGACAATTTGTATTCATTTCTTTTTAATATGATGGAATGAGCACCTGTGTTTGTTTTTCGGCTGATGCCGATGGTCTATTAAGAAATTGGTGATTAATATTAACATTCTGAAAGAGTATTTTGAAAATTAGTTGGAGCCAGAGAAAAGCTTCCGGAAGCAGGTTTGCAGAAATTGGCTTCCCCTCCCTGGGAAGTCAACATGATTCATACCCAATGGCATCTAGGTTTTTCTCTCTCTGACCAGCATATGAAAGAGTATGCATCCAGCTACATTTTTTTCTTCCATCCAACTTGTAAATAGTTTATGTATCCAGCCTTGTTCTCACCAGTGAAACCACATTAACAGTGTCAGAGATCAAACCTATTGCATTCTTTGGGTGCCTGGTGCTATAAACTTATAGTAACCCAAGTCCAGGAAAAACCTATGGTAGAGGTCTACTGTACGGATGCATCATGTGGTCAGATAAAATGATTCTGGTTTCTTCGTACTGTAAGATTCTATTCAGTGCTCATATAAACACTATAGACTCTAAGTCACATTCATATTCCATTATGGTGGGTTTTCTTCCCAATGCACATCCAGCGTCAAGGCACCTGCATCCTACTGATGGATTTCCGACACTATTACAACCCCCCCCCCCAGTCTTTAGCAGAGGTGAGAAGTTACTATACCAAAAAATCATGTACAAATTGTTATTTGTCTCCTTTTTGTCCAAGTTTGAAACTACTATTCCTCCTCCTGGATTGTGATTTTCTCAGCACCCTCCATAATGACATTCAATCAGGAAAATAACTCTTCCATATCTACAAACATCACAATAAGACAACACCCCATGATGACAAGTAATTATTGCACAGAGAGGCAACCTTCCACATATACAAAAAGGCAAGATCCTTAGTCAATCTGAGCTGAGATAAAATCCCTTCTTGACCATTGAGGTGTGGCAATTAGGGTTAAAGTTTGCATTAGAACTCATCCAGTTTCAGACCAATCTTATGTATGCTTGCTCGGATGTAAATTTAAGTGCATTCCATGAGACTGACTCCCAAGCAGGGAATATACTAGGATTGCAGCCTGAATTTCCTTATGAATAAAGCAGGTTTATGACTGAAGCAAATAACTTATTCCAGAATGGGTAAAATTGATTAAAATGTATGTTTCTCACCTGCTGATGTTGGCTCTTCTTCATCTAGCACTGTGAATAGAAGAAAGAAAAGAGATTAAAATTATAAATACACTGAAGAAACTCAAAGAATCTGAATGCATAGGACCCTATTTAAAAATATATTCTAACCCTTTAAATTTGCAATTAAAACAAAGGCACAATGTGTAAGTTTTATATAAATGCATGCATTCATTGAAAAACCATTTCCAATGCTATTTTAAGTATATTTTGAGGTACAGTCAGTAGCAGATGGTGGGGTGGGGTGGCAGAGATCAGCAGACATGCTGGTTATTGGGTTACATCTGTCCAGGCTACACGCCTCTCTTCTCAGTCCACATGCCTCACTCTTCCTTCAAAATTTGCACTCCTCAGAATTTTGAAATGCAGTTCTGCAGCCAAGTATTGCATGCAAAAATGAATCTACCTGGGCAAAGTGTGCAGAAATATATATTTATCTGTGACAATAACATACAAAATTTCTAGATTCAGGTAGGTAGCCGTGTTGGTCTGATGCAGTCGAAATATATATAAAAATAAAAAAATTGTCCAGTAGCACCTTAGAGACCAACTGAGTTTGTTCTTGGTATTTCATTATATTAGGGGAAATTAGAGACCTCTGAATTCTGTGTTTCTGGAATGTACCTTAGTGTACAAGGGTAAGAACCCTATTCCCATTTTTCCTTTGGCCCTTCTTGCCCCTAGAAGGTTGCCCATGAGTGAATGTGGACCTTGGGATGAAAAAGTTTTCTCACCCCCACTCTAAGGCACTGTTTTGATGAACTGATGATGCACATTTGTTCGCTGCCCAGCCTAGCATAAAACCCAACTACAATTAAGGAAGTCTGCCTCTGTTTCTTTTCAGCTTGGTTTTTGTGTGTTCTTCTCAAGGGTTTTCAAACACGACATTGCTAAGGCCAGACAACTTTCCTATACAAAGTGAATTGCATTTGCTACATGTATATAATTCTTAGGCAGTTCAATTCACAGCTCTATATATTATTACACATGACAATTGTACTGGTCACTGGGGTTACTTCTAATTGCATGTCAGGGAAACACTCTTTCCTGGAAATATCAGAAAGAAACCATGAAGGCTGATGAAATTTTGTCTGGCCTGCTTTCAGGCTTCCGATCACTTTTGATCCAACTGTTTTCAAATGGTTGAGAGGGAAAGAAAGAAAACACCAGTGTGATTTGTGATTTGCTATTCAGACAAGCAGCTGAGTAACACACAGCATCCACCAAACTGACCTCACACAATTCCACTGTCCAGATAGCATATGGGTGAACTTTTATGCTATGGGAAGGCATAAGAATTCTGAAAATAAACAGGGATAATCAATAGTAGCTAGGCAACTGTCAGGGAACTGCCATCAGAAGGACAGGAGGTGGAAGGGCTCACAGAGGTTGAGAGAGACTTAGCAGCTGAAGAGGGAACCAGCAGGGGGAGAGAAGGAGCTCCAAGGGAAAGTGAGTCGGAGGGATGGCTCAGAGACACTTCCAGCGAAAACAGTGGGGAGGTTTCAGGACCTCCTATAGGGACACCCACTCCTCGCCGGAAACTGTCGCGCCGAGAATCCAGAAGACGCGTTTCCGTTAAGGAGCTTTTATGCTGGAAGAGATTCCGTAAGCGCCCACTGTCGGATTCTGCTAGCGACTGACGGAGCCATGCTTAAGGGGCTCCGTTATAGACAGAGGTTTGCGGACTTAACCAAACTCTGAGGGACTAGGATTTTACGCACAAGTAGCTCATCATCCCATCACAGCAACCAATGTTTAAAATAACTTAGACCCGAGCCAATGAATGATGGAAACAGAAAGGTAAATCAAAATTGTTTCATTGCCCTTCTTTGCCCTTCCCTGTATAGGGAAGTTTTTAATATTCAATGTCTTACTGTGGTTTAGTGTGTTTAAAGTTGCCCAAAGTGGCTGGGGCAACCCCCAATCAGATGGGTAGCATATAAATAATAAATTGTCATCATTGTTATTATTCTAAAGTTTACTACTTCATCTCACTGATGGAATTGGTAAACTTGGCTGATGTTGGAAACCTCATGGACCCATATTTTCTCATCCTCTTTCTTCCTAGCTGAGAAAACTAAATCTAGTGTGTCTCCTGCCACATGTATTAGGTCAATAACATATTGGGACAGGCCCAAATTATTGTCATGGCAGCCCTGAAGTCCAAAATACCTGTCAGCCTCGTCATGGATATTGATATTCCCCAGAACCAACACCCTGTGAGTTTTCAGCACCACATCTGAGACTATCTTTTTCAGCTCTGGTAGGGAGACCACTGAGTGAGTAGTTCACTTGCAGAAAACTAACTTAGGTCCACTACTTTCAGCTTTCAAAGAATGACTGTGTTTCAGTTTGCATATTATTTTAGAAAGTGGTGGTGCTAACTGTGTGCAAAGATGTGAAGGTCACCTCTCAGACTTCGTTCTGCCTTACAAGAATGTGTGACCATCCCTTCTGTTACAGAATATCTGTAGGAAGTCAAATGAATGGTACTTTGCAAGAAATTGAATTCACACAAAAGGGAGGAAGGAGAAAAAGTCATAAGACTGTCAGGTCTTCCAAGATTTCCTAGCTGTATAGCTCATCTAAATGTGTTTTTTATGTATAAATAGCTTGCAAACTCCTGTGTCTTTTACATTAAAAACCAGTGGTCAGATAAGGACCAAAAAACAACAGTGGTGTTTTCTATATAATGCCTGTGCAGTTTTTAATTCAGTATACGAGAGCTGTGAAGTCAATTAGGGTCTCTAACACATCCATATCTTTATTAAGTGCTAGCAGACCATAAAGGAAACTTTAGAATACTAATGAAATTATTCTCATTGACCTTATTGCCCCATTATGTTAAATAATTTCATAAGAATTTTTCATTTGTACAATAAATAAATGTTCTGGTGTGTGAGAGAAATGGGGATCAGCTTTTATTTAAAATCAATAGTACACACTATAGCAGTTTTTTAAAAATATATATTTGCATTATAAACTGACTAAAGCAAAAACCCAATATAGCTGCAGGTGGCAAATTGCCCTGTCTTATCTTGGAAGCATGCTTAAAATGATGTGCATTATTTTAATAGGGGTTTGGGAAGTAATTTTCATTAGTGGTTCACAGAAGTGCAATATTGACTAAAGGCATTCTCAGTATTGAGCTCTTCCATTAATACTTTGGAAGGAGATACAGCCATAATATAAGCAGATGAAGAACATATGTAACAAGCCCCATTCTGTGTCCAATAAGCTCTGTGGCCCATAGATTGCCCAGTATCTTCTCTGTGTGATGTGTTCATGGGAAAAAGCTGTCCCATGAGCCCTTGCTGTAGAGGTAAGGGGAAAGCCTATATAAGGCTGCTTTCCCTGGATCTCACAGCCATTTTGTTTTGAGAGCTTCCCACCCACCCACCCTCGGGTTGGAGCCTTCACTGAGCAATTTTGGGTCGTTGGTTGACAGGTCCGGAAAGGAATCCGCCCCCCCAACCTGATTGGAACTTGTTTGGGTTTTTTCACATTTCCCTCAGTGAAATTATGGCTTTCCTTTGTATGAGGGCAGAAATGGCATTGGTCAAGATCAACATAGTACACCCCCCCATAAGGGGCCTGAAGGGAGGATTGACCATGGCAAACCAAAGCATGGGTTCGGTATCTGCCTGGTCCGAATCTGCACCCTGGTCCCCCAGTGAGACTTTGCTTGCTTGGCTTGTACCACGGCAAGGTTCAACACTGACCAACTCCCGCGGTAGAGGTTTGGACTGATCCAAACCCAGTGGAATGATGAACTGATCCTGGGACTCAATGCCATGCCAACCCTTGCCCTGCTTGTTGCTGTCAATAAAGATTTGGCCATATTTTATCCCATCACCGTTGTACAATCTGGTTTTTTTACTGCTCTCATGGGTCACATAATGCGCCTGTCTGGGCAAAGCAAAAACCAGAATGTGAATTACTCATTCACAAATGCCATCCTTACAGAAATTCCAGGTTCTAACCTTAATCACTTCCCCAACAGTCAACATTGAGATTCCCTAGAAAGGAAGCAAAGTGGATTTTGGAAGAGCCATAGCACATGCTTTGCATGGAAAATGTGTCATGTTCAGTCCCTATAACTTCCAGGTAGAACAAGGAAGAACTCCTGTATGAAACAGGAGTTGAGAAAATAAGAACTATTGGGGGGGGGCAACCAAATTTTGTCCGTGCTCAGGGCACCATATTTTCAAAGTCCACCCCAGTCCCCAGCTATGAATAACTATACATTCCCTGAAATTATTTAAATGCATGGTCGGGCAGGGGAGAGAAAATAGTCATGCACCCCCGATAACCTTCACCTGAAATGTCTCTTCAAATTGGGATCTATTCATACCATCGCCTGAAATAAAAATCAATGGGATGATTGATTCTTAGTATATTACAGTAGTAATGGACACAGATGGGTTGCACATGTTTGATTTTACTAGATCTGTCAGCAGAGCTCAAGATAATATCGACTACCAAGCTTTGTCATTTTGTGTGCTGCATCTGCTTGACAGTGTGTGTCCTGCTGTTAATTTTTCTGGCCTCTCTTTTCAAACATATTTTAAAAAGTATTAGAACCTATCGTTGATTGTTGCTGTGCTTCATATGTGATGTTGATACTCAGCTGCATAAGCCTAGCATATTAAAAGAAGAGGTTGTGTGTTATCGTCTGTCTAGGATGTGGGATACCTAATTTATAATAAAGGTAAAGGGACCCCTGACCATTAGGTCCAGTCGTGGACGACTCTGGGGTTGCGGTGCTCATCTCGCTTTACTGGCTGAGGGAGCTGGCATACAGCTTCCGGGTCATGTGGCCAGCATGACTATGCCATTTCTGGTGAATCAGAGCAGTGCACAGAAATGACATTTACCTTCCCGCCGAAGAGGTACCTGTTTATCTACTTGCACTTCGTGCTTTCGAACTGCTAAGTTGGCAGGAGCAGGGACCGAGCAATGGGAGCTCACCCCATTGCAGGGATTCGAACCGCTGACCTTCTGATCAG